AAAGGAAGAAACTGTGGCTGTAGTGAAATATCACCACTATATTGTTACTGTTTAAATTAATGTATGTCTGTGTGTCTTTATATCTGCTCTGCAAAAGTATTTGTCTGTTTCCACCATCATCTGCTTCCCACCATCTCTCTTACATCTTTCTATTTGCTTTTATCCTTTTCCTTTTATATTTTCCCAATGAATTTACCTCCACCTAGTTAAATATAATGAATAAACATATGGCCATAGATTGAAACACTATTTAATGCTGTCACATTATTTATTTTCATATGCCTTTTTCTCTTCTTCTGCCTATGTCTGGTTTTCAGTCTATAATATATAGAGTTGATTTTTACATTGATTTTTGCAGTACCTAGCACAATAGAACATATTTGTGAATATTTTTTTGCGTGCCACCGCATGATTAATAATTTAGAATTTTTTAGTCCAGAAATCTACAGCCTATTTGAATCAACTATTCATTTGTTTTATTTACCTAAATCAAAAGTAATAAATCAACACATTGTTGTTAATACAGGAAAATCACATTAACATTGCAGTAAATTCAACAATAGTCTCTTCATTGATCATTTTGGTTTCCAGCTTCAACACAGTTTAGGGCATCACTTTTCTCTTACACCTAGAATTGGATTTATTTATTATAGTTTCTTCTCCTTTCTGCTCTTTTTTTTTTCCTATACTTCTGACAGGCTTTTCATGGCATTTGAGAAAATCATAGTTTCCTGAACCTGTGGAACAGAGGCTTAATCTGCCATCATGGGGCCTCCAACAGAACTATCACTGTTATGTGTCCCTATGTTATTTAGCTGTACTATGGAAAAACTCCTATGAGATCACATATATCTTATGCATGTTATTGTGAATGGTCTACAGAGAAAACTATAAAGTTAGTTAGACAATTATAGACAGTATAAACAAGTCAAACCATTTATGGTCTCTGTTTCAGTAATGTTTCCAATTTCTTGCAGAGTTTTTTTGTTTTGTTGTGTTTTGTTTTGTTGTTGTTGTTTGGTTTTTGTTTGTTGGTTTTCTTTTTTTTCTGATATCAAGTTAGTTTAATGAGGAACTTGCTTATTTCTTCTTTTTCCAGTCATGCAAATGTTATATTGGCTTGTAGAGCACAAATATGGTAGTTTACATGACAACCTAGAAAAGGACGTGTTTCCTCTAAAAAAAAAAAAAAAGGGCTAAAATTACATCACCTTTCTACTGACAAAGAGACATCGAATGTCAATAAAAAAATTGAAGTACATACAAAATTTGAATTTGATGTGACTCATAATTTACTCTTAATTACTTTCTGATTGCTTTCTGTAAAGATAGATGCACATCAAAATCACTTTGACCTGCATGATTGCATAATACCTCTACTACCGATGACTATCTAAAGTCAGTGGGTGTCCTTTATTCAGAATATATACAGAAAAATGTTCCTTACAGTAAAATGATGCAATACCTATCATACTTTTATCAGAACTTCTCACATTGGTTTTACTCACGTAAGTACACTTGCAATCGTCATTCCTGACCCACTACACTAAGTGAAAAACCAGCCTTTTATAAACACCTATCAGTTTATTATTATCCAAAGATTTTTATGAAAATGAGTTAGACTTTCATCCATGATGACAAGGACTATGACTTGGCATTTTACTGTATGTTTAAGGATGTATTTATGACTACTATACTTTCCTGGAGGCTTGTGCTGTGAGCTTTTGTTATAGTTTTCTGCTACATTGTGATGGTCAGTTGGATTGGTGAATCACTCCTTTAATTCTATTCATCTTGTCTCAATAGCTCTAGTCACTCCAGTAACACAGGAACTAGATACATACACCCACTATCAATTTTGGAAGAAAAAAATCATAATCAGGAATTGCTTTTTGACATTCTTTTTTAGGAACTCTTATATTCCCTGATATTTTATTATTTAAATAATAAAGAGACTTACAGATAGACACTATATTCTACATTCAAAGGCAGCTCCTGCTTGACTAACCTATCTTCTATGACAAGGTGATCTGCTTAATGGATGAGAGAAAGGCTGTACATGTTGTCTGCCTGAAATTTAGTACAGCCTTTGATATTTCCCACAGTGTTCTCCTGGATAAACTGGCTGCTCATAGCCTGGATCTTGGTAACAGACTCTTTGCTGGGTCTCTTTGCTGGTAAAAGAGACTCTTTGCAGGCCTCTTTGCTGGGTAAACTCTGTCAGGATGGCCAAGGCTAAAGAGGGATGGTGGATGGGTTTAAATCCTGTTGGCAGCTATTCACAAGTGGTGGTGGTGACAGTTCTATTTAATATCAATGATCTGGATTGAGTGCACTCTCAGGCAGTTTGCAGACAGCATCAAGTTGGACAGAAGTGTTGATCTGCTGGAGGATAGGAAGGTTCTGCAGAGTGGTCCTGGACAGCCAGGTAAATAAATTCTTCCTAACATCCAGTCTAAACCTTCCTTGGTGCAGCTCTGGTCCATTTCCATGCATTCTAACACTGAATACAGGGGAGAGAAGCTTTGCACCTCTCTGTCCGCTTCGCCACCTCAGGAAACTGTAGAGAACAATGAAGTAACTTCTCAGCCCCCTTTTCTCCAAATTAGACAAACTCCAAAGTCCCTAGCCACTCTTCACAGCACATTCCATCCAGCCCTTTCACTGGCTTTTCTGCCCTCCTCTGGATGTATTCAAGGACCTCCACATCCTAAAATTGAGTCACCCAGAACTGTGCATAGTAGAATCATAGAATCATAGAAGCATCAAAGTTGGAAGAGACTTTTAAGATCATCAAGTCCAACCATTAACCTAGCACTCCACTATAACCTCTAAACCCTAAACAATACTTTTCAGCACCAGATCCAGATACCTCTTAAACACTTCTAGGGATGGTGACTCCACCAATTCCCTAGACAACCTATTCCAATGCCTGAGCACTGGAGTACACCAATGCTGAATACACCAGGATAATCACTTCTTTTAACCAGTTGGCTGTGCTGTGTTTGATGCATCTCTGGGTACTCTAAAACTTATGCTTTCATTCTGTTTCAGACCAAATTAATTAGTTCTTAGCATATTTGCGATGTTGACATTTGGCAATATAATAATACTTTCCTTCGGAAAGTATGACATGCAAATATATTCAAATCATAAAATATATGACAGATGAAAAGTCAATATTCCAATATGTTATTCATTTTGTATACCCAGAGGACCTGGTCTTAAATAACTAAACTAATTTGTCTAGTAAAATGCTGTTGGACTTAATCAAGATTTTGCCTCCTCTCCTAGGTGCAGAAAATCCTTTTACTTTCAAGATCAAAACAGTTGAGCTAAAAAAAAAAAAAATCTGTTACTTTGTCAGAAATAGCCAGTTTTCTTCCTAGGAAAGGTAGAAGTTTATTGCCTTTTATAATCTAAGCTATCCCAGTACTTGTTTGTTTGTATAGGAATGAAGAACTGTCTCAATAATATGCAAATAAAGATATCCTAAAATATCTGGTTTTGATACTTTTTGGTGGTTCCACCAACTTTGTTTTGAAAGTTTTTTCCAGTTTAAACATTACTTCTGCAGAGCCATTGCAATCAAAATAGTTTAAAACAGAACAGCATGAGGGCAAGACAGGGTTTATGTTCAAATATATTTTTGTTGTTCTTTAAAACCTAAAAATTAATGCATTTACACATTTCTTAGATATAAACTACAGTCAAGAAGATAAATAAATATGTATCTCTGAATCAAATGCAAAATTTGATTCATATATCTTGTGGCTTCATAAAACTGGCTGGAGATTCAAAGATTGAGTTGTATTCTACATTATTGCTGCTCTGATACACCTAGATACAAACTGAGTTTAAATTATGTCATTTTTAGTTCAATTAACAAAACTATTGCTTTCATGGTGGTTCTTTACACTCAGTTCATTGCTTTTATTTGTTCCAAAGTACAAATGCATCCTAAAAAAATTTCTTCCCTTGGAATTCTAACCTTTTATTAGGATCCAAATAGTTGTTAAAGCTTAATGCTTGTGTTGATTGCTTTTTATGTAGGATATTTAAACTTTGGAAGTGAAGCACAATTATGTTTATGTTAAAATGTGATACTGGTCACGTTTCAGATGAAATGTCAAGTCACTCTGTTAAGGATTGATTTAAATTCATCTATAATTTAGATATTTGTAGTTGTGCTTTACATTTTTTCTAAACTCATTGCAATTAATAGAATATATTACTCTCTCACTTTCTGGAGTCAAGTTAATTATGCTTCCTTTGTCTCTCTTTTTTTTGTTAATATGATCTTCATCTTTTAATTGCATCTTTGCATATTACATACAAGTTAGTTTTAGCAGTGGAGACTTCTTACTGACATTTGCATGATTAACTGGTAAGTTATTTTGCGTGTGCTCTCTATAGTTTCTGAATTAATCTGTGAAGGTAATCCATGTTTTGACTATATATGAAAACGTTCTTTAAATATTTTTCTCAAGATTGTAAGTACAAGATTCTGCACTTCCATCAGAAGCATGTCTGAGAAAAAACCCTACACAAGTGTCTAAAATAAGAACAATTAAATTCAATAATTAAAATACAATTTCTAATCTTTGATGAGAATATACATTGTATGGAAGATTGAAATCAAATGTAACAAGATTAGTCATTTTATATAGTTTTGTCACTGAACTGTGAAAAATCATAGAGTTAGGGCATAGTGTTATTCAAACTTGCAATACTTTGATTCTATAGAGGCCATTTAGGTTTTCTTTTTTTCATGCTCCTTGAAGAGGTAAAAAAAAAGTAATATATTGCACACACATGCATATCTATATTCCAGGAACTACTTTATCTAAAGAAGCAAGTATATTTTTCAAGATGTTGTGTGTAATCAGAAATAGTATCAAAGTTTTGACACTTGTAGGGGGGAAAAAAGAATTAAAAGAGAGACATTGACATTTTTATTATACATTTTGTATGTATATCCTATTATTATGTCTCATCAGGTGCTACAACTATTGAAAAGTATGATCTCCGAACAAATATATGGATTCAGGCTGGAGTAATGAATGGCAGGAGGCTTCAGTTTGGTGTTGCTGTCATAGATGACAAGCTGTTTGTCATTGGAGGCCGAGATGGTTTAAAGACATTAAACACTGTTGAATGTTACAATCCAAAGACCAAGGCCTGGACTGTGTTACCACCTATGTCAACACATAGACATGGCTTAGGTAAGAAAAAAATTATTTTTAAAAGATATCGCATTTTTCAGTTATGCAATTTATACTGGAAAACTCAGTACTTCTAAGCTATCATAGCATTTTATTTATCAAACAATCAAGGTATTGCTTTTAATCAAAGAATTATGTGTTTTCATCTATCCATTATGATAGGAAATAAAGGTTATCAAGACTGTGTCAGTGATGGACTGACATGCTTTAAAAAGTATTTGCAGCAGTAGTTTCATCATGACTGAGAGTATGTTTTTCCATATTCTGTGTTAAAATAAGCTGGGTTTTGGTTTGGTTTTATAATAGCATTATCCATACCACTGTCATCATTAATCAAGTCACATTGTATTCCTGTTCTCTACTGTTTTTTAAATTAAGCAAAAGACAGTTATATTGCTTCCTTGAAAAAAAAAAACCAACAAACTTCTATTATATATTATGTGTAAGAATCATGATATATTATTTCCTGAGAAGCTTACTTAATAGAGTTTAATTGCTTTTTTTATTTCAATTTTTTTCCAAGTATCACGTAAAGTTATTGTTGTAGTAAATGCCCTTTGTAATGAGAAATTAATCTGAAAGAATAATTTTTGGGTTTGTTTTTATTTTTAAAATATGCATTATGTTATACCCATATATAATGATATAATGATTATACCCATGGATAATGATAAAACAGTTCGAATTGGGTTTTGCATACAAGATCCGAAATAGGCACCCATCCTTTACACAGATGTCTTTTTGTTGACATAGCAAAAGTTTTTCAGATGTACCCCCTTGTAACTAAAGTCACAACGAGGTAACACAATTCACTTTTCCTGTCTTCATATAATCTTCAATAGAATTATGTGTATAGAAGGTGATATATGTAAAGAGGAAAGAAGAACTGACAGGTCTTGTAGTGAAAGTACATAGTGTAGGAAGTCATATCTTAGGCAGGTGCAATGCTGTCAGTGGAAGATGAGTGTAAGCTCTTGTAATGGTACTGTTTGGAATAAGTGGTGCTAAAGTACAAACAAGAAAGGGCAGACTGTGGGATCCTAAACTATTATTTACAGTAATAGTAATTCTAATATCCCTGTCAAGTAGTCCATAAAACAGAATGGAATATGAAAAAGTAATAAGATGCCAGAAAGGCAGTGAAAGGCACAAATGAAATATGGGGAAGGTGAAAACTTGAGAAACAGAAAGACCAAATCAAAACCCACATAGGGAAGGCAGAAATGACTGAAAGAACAATGAGGGGGAAAATGTAAAACAACTCACAAAAAAAAATATATATATTACAAAATGAACCAAACAAAATATTTTAACCTGCCTTTCCAAAATAAACAATTTAAATGCTGCAGTGAGAAAATTAGACTTCCTGTATAATTAAGGAAGAGCAACAGCCTTTTCAAGTAGGTCTTCTAAATTGTCTTGTTTTTTTCATGAACTATGCAAACAGTGTCTCAGCTCCTATTTTAGGTTTTGACTTTGTAAATATACTGATCTCACTATCCATGCTCAAACATGCATTTCCAAGATGATCAGTGTGGGAAGAAGGCTAATATGACATGGTAATACTTAGTAAAATCCCGTACAGATTAGAGGCAAGTTGCATATTTATATTTTATCTCCTCCCCTCTTCAGTGAGATAATTTTATCAGTTGGAATTGTCTGTGTGAAAAAGCTAGAAATGCTAGCAAAATGTTCATTGATGAGAAACCTTAGATTTATTGATACGGGTAGATAGAATTCACTCTACCCAGAGTGAATGGCAGTAGAAGACCTAAAGAGTTTCCGAGTGTCAGTTTACACAGTGCATTATGGCTTCAACCTATTGTTCTGAATCAGCTAAAATGTAATGTAAATGCATTTTAAATGACCTAAGGGGTATACTTGCAGGTAAACAGCCTGAATACTTGCCTATAATGTGATTGTCATGAAACTGTTATGTGTAGGAATGGATATCTAAAATACTAAGTTCAAGAATCACAAGTAGAAAGAAAATATATGAAGTTAGGGAGTTGTAGGTTAAAATATCCCAGAATGTCTTTGATGTTGCTGACAAAAATATCTAATGTCATTATGTGTTTGCACAAAGTTCCATTTCTGTATTTCACTGAAAGACAATGACCCACCCTACTTAGACTCATCTTGATTGTCCACTTTCATGCTTACTGCTCTAGAATCTGGCTCAGGAGGTGGAAAGAAGGAAAAAAACCCCTCAGATAGCTCTGTACCTTTCAAGTAGTAATGAGAAATATTAATAGAGGGAAAGACTGAGGAGAAACTGAAGAATCACTCAAAAAGCTGGTAAATAATGTAACAAAGAGAATAGGTAAAGTCAGAGATAAGGGAAGAAGAGAAGGGAAGACTGTCCGTGTATTTTGGCCAAAATCAAATACTTGATTACACTCTTTTTGACCCATACAAAATAATTGTACATAAATATATATATGCATACCAGTTTAAATATATGTAGATATATATATACATATACACACACACTTACCTGGTTAGGCTAAATTTATTGCATCTTTTTTAGTGGACATTGCTATTCAAAGCACAATCAGTGATTTGATCCATAATATAGAACTAGTGGAATTTTTCAGCTTGTAAATTATGAGCTATCCTTGACTTCATCACAAAGTGATGACCTTCATTAGAAGAATTTCCAAATCTGTGTACCTGTAGAAAAGCCATGAGTCCTTTCCTTGTGGTTATAATGTAAACAATGTCCAAGCATGAAGTTTGAGAGCTGATTTTGAAACACAGCTGCGTACTTAATCCACTGCATTCCTCAAAGTGATAATGATAGGAAGGTTTCAATGTTTATTGAATGCTTAATTTCTCTTAGCAATTTACTTTGCATAGAAGACATTTTTAAGGCATACAAAAGCTCTAAGTATGCTTCTATTCTCTTCTGCACAGTATAAAATAGTAAATATAGTAATATAATAAAAATTATGAAGTACAATTAATATTTTATGAATGTATATTTGTATTTAATGCTAGTAACAAAAATGATTAGCCAAAACACTGACACCAGTCAAAGTGGAAATTTTCAATAAAGGCATGGAACTGTAGATTTACAGAGCTACTGTTATCATTCTTTAAATGTCTTATGAGTTTTAAGGACAATAAATATTACATAAGTTCAATAAAGTGAATGTTTTACCTATCCTACGAGATTATTTTTGATTGGTTAGGGATTTTTTGTGAAAGGAAGCTTATTTTGCTTGGTCTTAACATAGAGAGCTAGCCACCATGAGTTAACTAATAACAGTAAGTAAATTATGTCTATTCAAAAACAAATTCTGAAGACTTCTTGAATTTTAAATAAAGTAATTTGTATTCATTCTGAAAAAAACTCTAGAAATTTTCATTTCATTTTGATGATTATTTCTAATCCCACAGAAATACTGAATTTTGATAACTTGATATTAGAAAAAATATTATACACAGTTCAAGTCTTCTCATTCGTACCAATGCAATATCTGAATCTACCAAGGACATCATACCTAGAGAGCTCTTTTGTTCCAGGACTAAATGCAATGACTTCTCTGTAAGATTTTTGACTACTCATGGTTATGTCCAAATTAATACTTAAGGCTGAATAAAGAGCCATGTAAGACTAGGAACAGACTGATTTTATATGTCCTTACATATATCTAATAGAAAAATTCTACATTTATTTAAAAAAAAAATCTCAGACTTGTTTCTTAGAAGTGAATTGCTTCCTGGAAATCAAGACCTGTTAATTCTTTTGCAAAACAAATCTCTTTATTTTCTTTTGGGCATACCTAAACAATTGCCACTACATAGGGTTACATTCAGATGGATGAGAATATTCTGTCTCATTTGGCTAAGAAGGAATTATTTATGAGTGCTTTCTTCTGTGTTTTAAAGAAAAAATTAAAACATTCAGTCAAGATTCTGAAGCTGTGTGCGGTGTATTTTCTCTGTTCATCAACATCGTTAGAGGCAAAAATCACTTCTAAACCAAGAAGTGTAAAATAGCATTTGAAAATCAATGGCCTTTATGATCAAATTTGAACTATAGGAAACTGTCATTCCTTTGAGTCTGTTTCTGTATCAATTCAGATTCTTAATTTCTGTATAACTGAGTAAAGCTGACTTATGCCATTAGTTTTAATTTTTTACTGAATTGAAAAGAAAATAAAAAATAAAAAAAAAGAAAAGGAAAGGAAAGGAAAAGGAAAGGAAAGGGAGAAGAGAAGAAAAGAGAAGAAAAGAGAAAGAAAAGAAAAGAAAAGAAAAGAAAAGAAAAGAAAAGAAAAGAAAAGAAAAGAAAAGAAAAGAAAAGAAAAGAAAAGAAAAGAAAAGAAAAGAAAAGAAAAGAAAAGAAAAGAAAAGAAAAGAAAAGAAAAGAAAAGAAAAGAAAAGAAAAGAAAAGAAAAGAAAAGAAAAGAAAAGAAAAGAAAAGAAAAGAAAAGAAAAGAAAAGAAAAGAAAAGAAAAGAAAAGAAAAGAAAAGGTTCTCCGTTGCTCAGTGCAGCCTATAAAAAGTAATTTAAGCTGTGGCACCCAAATTGTATCTCTAAGGTTCTAGTTTGCATTGATTTAGCCTTTTCTGTATATAGATGGAAGTCGACTGTCCAAATGTGATCCCTTTCATGATGATTTGATTTGGGAATTCCATTTTAGATTAGAAACATTATATTCATACTAATATTCTGCTTCAAAAAAAATTCTAAACTAAAAGATTTATAGCTTATTTTCAGACTTTAACTTGTCTCTAAAGGAATACAACTTATATGATACAATACTTTGGCAAATGATAATAGTTTTGTAAGTGGGCCAACCATAGCTGTGCAAAACCTTCCTGCATCTGAAATGTGAATATGATTTTTGTGGGCGCTTCTTTATGCTTGTCCTTTAATTTTTGCCCTGCTACCCTATCATATATTAGATTGAGCAAATTACTTTACTCTGTTACCATAAATGGATTTTACTCAGATGCAATCACCTACAATTGGTTAAAGTCATACCACA